ATATCTTCATATCACATATCACATATCTCTATATCTCATAATCTCATATCTCAATATCTCATATCTCATATCTCATATCTCATATCTCATATCTCATCTCTCATATCTCATATCTCATAATCTCATATCTCATCTTATCTCATATCTCATATCTCATATCTCATATCTCATATCTCATATCTCATATCATATCTCATATCTCATATCTCATATCTCATATCTCATATCTCATATCTCATATCTCATATCTCATATCTCAATCACACATCACACATCACACATCACACATCCACATCACACATATCACATATCACATATCACATATCACATATCATATCACATATCACATATCACATATCACATATCACATATCACATATCACATATCACATATCACATATCACATATCACATATCTCATATCTCATATCTCATATCAATATCACATATCACATATCACATATCACATATCACATATCACATATCACATCACATAATCACATCTCATATCTCATATCTCATATCTCATAGCACATACCTCATAGCACATACCTCATACCTCATACCACATACCTCATATCTCATATCTCATATCTCATATCTATCTCATCACATATCACATATCACATATCACATATCACATATCACATATCACATATCACATATCACATATCACATATCACATACACATATCACATATCACATATCCATATCATATCTCATATCTCATATCTCATATCACATATCTCATATCTCATATGTGAATATCTCATATGTGATATCTCATATGTGATATCTCATATGTGATATCTCATATGTGATATCATATGTGCTCATATGTGATATCGTGATATCTCATATGTGATATCTCATATGTGATATCTCATATGTGATATCTCATATATGATATCTCATATGTGATATCTCAAATGTGATATCTCATATGTGATATCTCATATGTGATATCTCAATCTCAAATCTCAATCTCAAATCTCAAATCTCAAATCTCAAATCTCAAATCTCAAAAATCTCAAATCTCTCAAAATCTCAATCTCAAATCTCAAATCTCAAATCTCAACACGCACAGCACACCACACCACACCACACCACACCACTCCACACCACTCCACACCACTCCACACCACTCCACACCACTCCACACCACTCCACACCACCCACACCACTCCAACCACTCCACACCACCACACCACTCCACACCACTCCACACCACTCCACACCACTCCACACCACTCCACACCACTCCACACCACTCCACACCACTCCACACCACTCCACACCACTCCACCCACACACCAACCACACCACTCCACACCACACACCACATTACATCACATATATTGTATATAATGTCATATATCATATCATATAATGTAATATAATATAATGTAATATAATATCATAAAATAATATATATTATATTATATTATATAACAATATATATATATATATACATATATATATATATATATGTGTATACATTCATATACATACATGCATATATACATACATGCATGGATACATACATACAGAGGGACACACAGATATATAAAAAATAATTCACACATACATACATGTATACATACATATGCATATATATATTTGTAATTACTTAGACTGTAGATACATATACCAATGGCAGAAACACTGAATTCAAAACTGAGTAACTGAATAATCCTATTGGTGTATATTGATTTTTTCTGCCACTGCATCAGAAGTAGTTCATCACATTTATTTATACTTATATATGAATCATGCTTAGATAAAAAACAAACTCAAACAGGTTCACTGAATAAACCTATATGTATAATAGGATTTTTTTATCATTAAATCAGTATGTTTTCTGCTCTATGTATACTTATGTATAAAATGTGAAAGGTAAAAATATTTACTTCTTACAAGTCCGAATATTTATTCAGTATGAATATAAAGCTCTCCGTCTACATCATCCATAGTCTACACCAAAATGTGGTCTGTCCATTGCCTTGACACATTTATGCAAAGTCAGTGATATACTGTACACTTTAAACTATCAATTAACTGATGAAGAATATAGGCCAAAGACACGGAATGCTCTTTTGCTATTTCTTTGATAAAAATAGCTTGATACATTTCTCTATTAGTGAAAGTTTACACACAAAATTATCAAGCCACAAAAGCTATTACACACACAGAAGAGATGAACTGAAATAAAACAATGTTTAGCAAGTCACAAGAACAAATGCAGTTTATTCTTCATCATCAGATCAACGAGTTATAATGATGAACACTTGACGTAAGTAATGTAGCATACCAACTAATATCTTGTACAAATATTCAACACACTCAAACTAAATCAAAGAGGATGTGCAGGCTGAAAACACGAGTAAATGCATAATTTTTTTCAACAACAAAATGCATCAGATCAAAAATATTTACTTTTGAGAATCATTCGCATTATGAGATTTTACACAACACAACAAAAAACCTAGAGCAATAATGCCATCCATAATCACACCCAGTTAAAACACTGCTAAAGCTGTTGCACTCTGTTTACTGACCTTATTGTATTCTTGACTTAGTATGGGTATTTTCCCTAACAATGCTGCCACACTATGTGCATACCAACCATGAGCACCAAGGATATAGTGATATGAAGCATTTTCTGGCAAAATTACAAAACAAGATCCATAACTAAAATATGAAAATTAGTATTACTATTTCTTTGTTTCTTCCATATCACTTATGTACATCCTCCACAAGGATGTCTTTAATTCAATGTAAAAGCAATACAACAATCAATTTCTACTTACAGGTTCTTTCTGTTTTTTTTTTGTTTTTTTTCTACTTGCAAAATCTGTACTCAACACAAATCAAAACTGGATGCAGTTATCTGGCACCTACTAGGAATTCACAAATTAAAGGGCTTATTTTGTTAATACTGTAATGACATTGTTTCTTGGAAGCACTTGTCTTTCATTTGTGCAATCTACAGGGAACAGGGGGAAAAAATGTTGATATTTGTTCTTTTACTTGTTTATGTCATGGATCTATTTGGAAACTGAAGTGCAGATAAACAACAAAGTGCAGCTCAAGTTTTCTTCTTTTTTTCAGGCCATTCCCTGTACAGTCCATCAAATGTGTTTTTTTTTCTAGATTTTCAATGAGTCAATAAGATATTGAAATAAATAAAATTTCATAGAACCCTATCACGTTCAAAGGAAATATTGCTACAATAAAAAGGCCAAATCAATTAAGTCTTGAGTTACAATAGACTCCTCAGCAGGCTAAAAAAAAAAAAAAAATAGATGATCAGTGTCGGTTTGATCATCATATGAGGTGTTAAATCCAATTCAAAATGTTATGATTTATTGTTACTTTCTTGGTGTTCCATTTCATCTTTGTACAAACCTTATTGTGTTTGTGTTCTATTCTATTGCATTAAATTTAGTATGAGGCCTATAAGTATGCAAGTTCATGAAATTACTATATCTTTACTTTTCCTTAATATTTAAGAAAAATTGGAAGTTAGCAATTCTAAAAATCAACAGATCAGTGGAACATCTAAAATTGATACTGGTAGCATCCCTTGCATATCTTCCTTACAATTAATAAAACATTGAGTTTGATTACTGTAATTATTACATTGTACACCTTTCCATTAAAAATTATGCCTAATAATCATTTTGTGCTTTTCTCTTTCCTCAAGGTTAAAAAAGAACAAATCAATACTACCAATATTCACAAATGAATTAAAGTGTTTTAGTAACATGAAGGCAAAGGGAAAAAATATAGAAAAATCCGTAAACGTAAACATGCACCGCAACTTAAATTCCTATTTATTCCACAATCATGAACATAAAAAAATATCATGAATGGTACGTCCTCTGTCTGCCACAAATATGCCATTATTTCACTTTTGATAAAAGTAAAACATACCCCATAAACTGTACAAGATCCCTACTTTTTATGTATCTGATATATATATTTACTTTTTTTCACTTTTGAGCATTTCTAATTGGTGAATAATTATAACTAAAGGTAAAAGTAATAAAGTTAAACATATGTAGGAATTTCTTGTTCTTTTTCCTCTATCATTACTGTTATCATTTGTGCGTTCAAGCTGCCAAATCCCTAATATTGGATAAAAGGACGAATGGACATGAGTTTCCAGAAATAGCCATCTAATGCAGTATCAACAGACACAATGTAAAAAAATGCCAAATTCATAAAAATAATTATTCTATTTTACTATATCCTCAAATACCCAACTAGTCAAATTATCAGTAATTCTGCAACAATATCTAAAAACACAATACTCAAAACTACAAATAAAATAAAATGAATTAGAATCTACAACAAAGCAATAAGGATTTATTGTTTTTCTTTTTCATATATTTACAATAAAATGTATGTGCATACTTGCATGCATTCAAATGTGTTTATGTGTTTGTGTTTTTGTCTGTGTCCATGTTTGCATTTGTATGCTTGTCTATGTGAAGGGAGAAAGGAAAATGGAAAGAGGAGAGACAAGAGAGAGCAGACGAGAGAGGTGAGAGGTGAGCAGGGAAATGCTAAAAGGAAAGAAAAGACGGAAAAGTAAAGACGAAGAGGAAAAATAGGAGAAGCAAAGACGATGAGGAAAAGAGAAAAATTATGTTGCGTTAAGACACAAATACTTGATACTTGGTCAAGAAAATTATGGTTAATTTGATATAATTTATATTCATATACTCTACACAGATAATCATCCTGACAAATAAATAATTTTTTCATCCATATAAGAAAAACTATCTTTTACAGTTTCAAAGAATAATTTCTCAGGCTAAATACTTCTTACCTTCAGGAATGGATCAGAGCTTATCTGATGACTTACATATACAATATCCAAACATGATTCAATAAACTTTCTTTGCATATCAATATAGCATCTTACATTAGCTTAAGTAATTGAATATGCATACATTATCAGTCAAACAACTGAATTTTCCCATAATTTATGTTTTCTTTTTCTTTTGAGGTCATTACCTACAATTTTTCTAAAAAATATCAGTAGCTCCATATACATACTCTTCTGATAAATAAAATTTACAGTAACATCTTCCAACCATACATAAGCCTGACCCTACCCCCATTATAGGAATTACAAGCATGGAAACAAGGACCAGGTCTGTGGATGCCTGATTCCTTTTTCATCTTGTGTAATAAACACGGTAATACAAGGTTTTACTCCGCCACAGGGAGTAGGAATTATCAAACTTGAGTAAATAAACGCCAGTGCCAGGATAGGCATGAGACCCAGCATACACCTCCTCATGGCAGTCTCGTCGGTACACAGGAATTATTACTGACTGGGCTGGTCGGCCATTCTCGTGCTTGCGGCCAGCTAACCTCTCAACATCATCACCCTCACCTGTAAATAAGGTGCATGATCTTTCAACCTTTGTTTTTTTCCTGGGATGAACATATATACAGTATATATAATATAATAATAAATAAATATATATATACATATACATATAAATATATATATACATATACATATACATATACATATACATATACATATGCATAGACAAATACATATACATTTTTAAGGTAGGACATTCCATTATCAAATGATAACCAAATATAAGCTGAGGATATTAGATATTAATTTTAAAAGAATAGAACATAACATTCATCAACTACCTTCAGGTTCTTCCTCTTCCTCCTCTTCTTCACTCTCTGAGATGTGAACAGACACTACATTACTTGTATCTTTTGTCCACTCAAAGTAGACACCAAAGCCAATATCATAGTTATCAGTGGCAAACTCCCAAAACAAGCATGTTCCATCTTCATGGGTAGGAACTCGGACCTGTAAAAAGGAATTGGGATAACTTAGCAATGGCTAACATCTAAAATCTGTGGGTGTATTTGGATTTTCGACATTCATTCAATCCAAGGGCACTCAATGGAGCATAGCCTCTCAAAAACTGGTGGGCTGGTTTCCCACACTTTATCACTGTTTATGGAATGTTGGGAGTGTGAGTAAATTATTCTGGTACTATTTCGCAAGTTTCCTCCTGTTACAAGCCCCTAAAACAACCCCAGTATTCCAAACCATTTATACCTTTTTGTTGCTCTAGGCCAATCATATCAACCCCTTTATTTGTCAAGTGAAGGAGCACTGCAAGTATAAAGAAGAATTCTCTAATGTGGTAAAGAACTTTACGCAATGATGGACATTAGAACGAATTAATGACCACTGCGGGGGTACGCAGGGTGGCCAATCAGATTGCTGGAGGAGAGGTGCCCCCCGTGCCACCATGGAAGCCCTGCCTCTGATGATAGGAATGTTTTACTATAAATAGCCTATAATATTCTTTAATTTATTCATATATTTAATATTGTATTACTGTACGGGGTGGAGCACATAAGATTTGCTCTCACACCTCATCACAGCCCAAAAGCAAACTATATGAATAATTGAAGAGTTACACAAGAGATCATACTAGCCCCACCTATGCTAGACTAAAGGTTCTTAGAATTTCAGACATTATTACTGTACTGTGTGCTTATTATATGTACAAGTGTCTAAACCAAGTGACTTTGAATTATGACTATTTTACCCATGGCATGAATGACAGAGACCTATGAAGGGATGATCATAGATTGCAACTCCCCTCAATTGTCTTTGCAGTGACAGTCACAGATAGATATTTAGGAGTAAAGATATACTTGTATTAAGAATGAAACCCCACTTTAGGTAGTATCAAAAGTTGTCTCAAAAAATACCTATTAACCCAGTATGAAACTCTGCTATGATATAGAAGTTACTGTGGATCTCCAGTTATGAATATAGATGCTTCTTATGTGTATATATGGTCTTAATACATTCATTATTGTATCTTCATAATTTCATTTAATCTGTTTTTTCATTTATAGTTATAAACACTGTTTAGAGATACTATGCTTCAATTTATATTCAATTTGTATTTCCATAGTCTTAGATATTATATACCTCTTTGTTTGATACTTTTACATATGTTTGGTTTTAGTTTTAATTATTTTTCTCTTTTCAATGATAAAAAATGGTCTGATCAAAGTAAATAAAAAATCATAAAATGAAAATTAAAAAAAAAAATGAAGATAAATATACTTAGGCTAAAAAAAAAAAAAAAAATGATGTAGGTAACCCGACCAACTGTATTTTTTGCCCAAAAAAATGCTGGCTCAAAAAATGTTATCACTATATTCCTGCCTACCACAAATCTAATACAACTGGTTTTCAAAAATACCACCAAAAACACAACCCATAGTGCCACAATGGCTAGATTATGAATCCCAAAGCAGTTGCGCCACAGCAACTGTATCATTCTATTGACATTAACTGATACATGGCAATACTGCATAGGGCGAGTGTGCATCATCTCAATATCAAAATGGCAGCCCTCTGACTAAGGCTTTAAAAAATAAGCAAGATTTGTATCTTAAACTTAAACTTCAGTTATATTTTTCTATTATTATAACTAGGTCTCGGAGGCAGGGTTTAGAGTGAGGTGGTGTCCACGAACAGGTTCATTACATCACTTCTCAAAAAATAAATTTCCAATAAAAAAAATCCTTACCTATTGACTCGCCTCCAGAGGGAGTCTGTTACCTGAACTTTTTTTTTTTTTTTTTTTTGGGGGGGGGCTTATCAAAAAGCTTGGGTCTGTGTGTAATTATGAAGTAGGAAAAAATAGTATTTTCAAGGACCAATGGAACTCTATGGCACCAGTAATGTTTATCACTATGTACTGCTTCACTGCTCAATTACTATGAGACATACTAAAACAAAATATCTATTTATGAGCTCCACAAAAATATCATAGATCAAAATTGGCCTTCCTCAAATTAGAATATTTTATGTTTTTTGTAGCTGAAAAGGAAGGCAAGGCTGAGTCTTTAGAGGTTAATTATAACTTGTTATGAAATATGATTTTTAAACTCTGAGAAGAATACTTCTTTAACCCATTAACGCTGGTATATTTTGAAGCCTAAAATAAAAGATTCTGGGCGGCTACAAAATTGGCGGGTGGGCGGGCAGAGTCCAGGGCAGCCCCGCGCTGTGTCGGAGCGCAAGCCCTGATACAGCGTCACACTGGCGGGACGCCCAGCAATTTTTATTTTACAGAGTATCTCATATGTGGGACACCTGTCGTTAGTGGGTTTATCATTTACCTAGCAAGGCTGTCTGCAAATCTATCAAATTGGTTGAAACTCATGGGATTTCTACCAGAGATAATCTTGTATGGATGTTATATACTTGGCTTCAATTATCATCTATTCATCATAAAATAAGGCACTAGTATATGGCAAGGAGTATTTTTGAAAAATAAATAATAATATATTTTGATGGGATAAACAAAACTATTGATTGGTCAAGGTTCATTAATTCCACAGTTCTGTTAGGAACACAATTATTTTTCACAGCAATTATGGTAAGCAATACAAGCTACCACTACTTCTTGATTTATTTGCTATGGTTTCAGCATAAAATTATCATTACCTTAAACTTATCAAAATTGGCATTCTACCAATGAGTTGATTGACATTAATGCTTTTATGTGAAAATAAACATATCTGTGGAGTTGATGACACCAATTAATTCCACATTTGCCCTTAATAAAAGACAAAGTACAATTGGAGTCATAAATGGGCTATGGATTATACACATAACTGTGTCACCCTATGGCTTACACTAACCGAATTGCAGGGTGCAGGGTGACTTTTGCAAGGGAAATAGGGTCCATTATATCACTCCATTTAATTTGACTACATGCTGACATTTCTTTACCTCTTAAAATGTTCCATTCCACTCAAATAAACTCTTCTCCAATCTGCTCTATTTCATTTCACACCCTTAATCTGTTCTACTGCACTCCATACTAAGTTGCATCACAGGGAGCCACTCCACTCCACTCCACTCCACTCCACTCTACATTCTCCTTAACACACCACTCCCTAATAAGCCACTCGCCTCCATGCCAATCATTTGTACACTAGTCTACTGTACACCATTTCCCCACATGGCAATTTAATCCACTACACTCCACTGCTTTATTCACCATTCATTTCCAATCAATCGAAAAAAAATCATAAAAACTTACCGTTACAGTCTCTCCATGCCCAACCTTAATGACTGAATCTCCACCCTCTCGTCGAATGGATTCTTTAAAATCCTGAATATCTCGTCTTGTCCACATTGAGGCTGGCGCAACATTCTGGGATGTTTCTGGAATGGAATCCATGCAGCAAATAATAAAATTCTGCTGACAAACAAAATTTCTACAATCTACAAATATCAATTTCATCATATCAATTTTGTAATCTTGAACTTTGCTAAAGCAACTGTCCCACCCTTTAGGTATTACGGTCTTCAAATTCGTCATACTCACCTTCATCTTCAGAATCTTCTTCACCACCATCAGACTCATGTCCATTTTCTTCAGGTGCCGGACTTTCCTCACCGCCCTCTGTCTGACTCTCACCACCAACCTAAAATAAAAGTATCTTGGTATAAAGTATCTGTTAAAGATCACAGCCAAAAAATTTAAAGTGAAGCGTGTGCATGAATGCCCAAGAAATTTTGAAAGATCACTAATGATATAAAACATATCATTCTTCAGATCTTGCCACAGTATACTCATAGTCAAAAGATAACTTGACGTAATATTCTTCTATCTCCTATAAGTTGTGACAAACTACACACTTGACAATTTCCATCCTCTGTTTGAGGCTGTTCCTGCTGTTGTTGTTGAAGGAGGAGCTGTTGTTGGTAAACCTGCTGCATATACTGCTGATAGTGTTGATCCTGAAGCTGCCTTATCAACACTGCTTGCTACAAATATTTAAAGAAAAAACAAGGCATTACTACAGCATACTACACAAAAATCTGCAGTGTTATCTTTAAACAAGCATTAAAAAATAAACAAGATTTGCAAACAATCAAGCCTTGTCAATAATTCTAAACAAAGTAATCCTTTACAAACCTGTTCTGGGTTGCCAGGAAACTGCTGCTCAGCATATGAGCGGAACTGCTCATAGGTCTGTTGATTCAGAGCTTCTTGGATCTGTCGCCTGAAAATACATGTTTTCAAGTTACAGTCTACATACAGATTATGTCAGCATAGATTATATGTTCTCGTAAAGGTGGTGAGATGCAGTCATTTAAGACATTATTGCACTGAATATTTGCCTGATAATTTTTTTTAATATTGTATAAATAACATTCTGACCTTAGATGAAATGAACATTATGATATATTTGTATTTTGTCTTTTCTTTCACTTGTGATCATATCCTGCCTGTATCTGTCTTGTGCTGTACAATGCTTTGTGACAATATTAGTGGGAAAAAATAGTGGATCTGTCTACCATTTAGGTAAAAATGTGAACCATAAATGCAACTTAATCTGTGCTCAATTAACACTTCCATTGATTGTGATAATTTGTTTCTTTTGCTTCCACTAAAATTTGCCTTGTGTGCAGTGTATAAAAAGAGCATGCCTTTGAAAGCAAGGAAATACCACATTATCTGAAGACCCCTTCTTCTTCCTTCTTTAAGGATATTCACTAGGATAAATGCAGAATTCGATAAAGGAACAAACAGTAGCGTGAAAAAATGATTTAAAGTATCTTTTTAAGCTTTAACTCTTACTAACAGAGTAAAGAAAAATCAATTCATGTTCCAATTATCACTACCCTCATCATCCTTTGAATCTGTTCCTTGACCTCTTGTTATGATCTATCTAACATGATCTAATTCTGTAGTGACTGACTGAATTTTACAAGAAGAGATAACTATAGGATGAAAGCAGCCACTTCAAACATTGCATGATCTAAGCTATTTCATAAAGCACTGAAGAAGGACTATTATAAACTCACACATGATAACAGCCTTGACAATGGCAGCAAAAAAGCAAGAGAACTTTGAACAAAGGGAGGAGACTATGAATGCTTTTTCCATATCCCATTTCATGTATGGAATCAATCACCCCACTCTGCTTCCATTGTAACCTTCAAAATACCTTTTTTTAATACCGTTTATATTTGTTACCAATATACTACCACTACTATAGTACCTGGCAAGATGTTTCTAAAATGACAAAGATATACATACAAAGCCTATTCTGTACTTCAAATTACTGTTACTTACTTTGTTTCCTCCTGCTTTTTCCTCTCCTCTTCCTCCTTTCTCCTCTCTTCCTCCTCAAGCTTTCTCTTCTCCTCCTCTTCCTTCCTTCTTTCTTCTTCTTCTCTCCTGGAACCAATGAAAAAATACAAGATGTAGCAACATACTGTTTCACAGGCTATAGCATTTCCTGCAATTCAGTAATAAGTAATATGATGTTCATGATGTATGCAATCACCTACACTTTAGCCCACTGCTGCCAGGTAATCACACTGTCGACTGTATTTTTTTTATAAACTTTGTTTGCACATAGATGGTTCCACAAGTGCTCAGCCATGCTATTTATATCAATGTTACTATTATTATCACTGATATTATGATTTTCCTTATCATTGCTAATACCAATAGCAGTAAAAAATAATTATAAATCTTTCAGGTGAGACTGGCAGGAACAATAATCAACTCATTGGGGATGACGTACTTGTGGAGCCACTCTATGTAAAAACAATGAGTAAACTAAAAATCACAGCATCAAAGATTAATATTACGAGGCTATCTAACACTAAAAAATTCATAAACTCTAATAAACCTTACTTATTCACCAATCACAAATTAATCAACAAGATCACCTCACACTGTTGTATCCTCTATCACTATATCACTGTATTACTCCTTCACTCTGTCACTCCGTCACTCCGTCACTCCGTCACTCAGTCACTCCGCCACACAGTCACAATCACACAATCTATCACTCTATCACTCTATCACTCTATCACTCTATCACTCTATCACCCTTTCACCCTTTCACCCTTTCACCCTTTCGTTGCTTTCATTGCTTTCAACGCTTTCAACACTTTCAACGCTTTCATTGCTTTCAACGCTTTCAAAATCATCCTTGCATCCTCTAAACCTCTCACTCTCTCACTGTCTCTTGCTCTCTCACTCCCTCGCTCTACATTTTTTACGTACGCTAATCTCTCCTTCTCTAATTTGTCTGCCCAGAGTGCTTCAACATAGGGACGGAAGGTTGGAACAAGATCGGTCAGCTTGTTTACAAACTGCTCCATGGCCACCTCTCGGCCCATTGACCCCAGCGTCTGCCATGCTAGCCTGTAAGATAAATTTAATACTGAAGTTTTCATTACAGTGTTCTAATCTTTTTTATCTCATATCCTAGTACATTTTTCATTTTAGCAAAGTTTGTGGTATATTAGCATAATCTAATTTACTAAACAGAATTATCAACTTTAATCTAGACTCATGTTTGTTTGATCTTAATCATGAAATGATATACATGAGCTAAAATTATATCTAAACACCTGAATAGATTGGCATTGAATACTCCAAAAATAATTATTAAAAGGCTTATTCAAATCAACCCCTATGCAGAAAATCTTTTCCTCCATTAACATACCTTCTATCTTTTCCAACAACATCCAGCACTCCAACTGGTGGTGAAGAAACGGGATCATATGGGCCATGCGTCACCTGCTGTGTGAGAGCAACTAACGAACACTTCTCAGCATATCCAAGATGTACAGCTTTTCCTTCCTTATCTGTAATGAGACAGAATTAAAATTAACGTGAAACCCATAATGTTTTTTGAAGGTCAAATGTTAATTATAATTGATTAAAGAAACAAATTTTCAATTTCTATTTCTTACTGTATATCACACAAGCTATGATCACTTGCGAATATGCATTATCAAGGAACATGAAAGTTGGTATAGTATTAGTACTATATACCCATACCTAATTCATACTTTTTCAATGAAAAATTAATATACATATATACACATTTGGAAGCAAATCAATAGACACTTCTTCCCTACATCAGCAAGTACAGTGCCTTGTAAAAGTGAGCTTATTTGAAGACCTATGCCTTTTTTTTCCGTTACAATCAAGGTGTCACATGACGCGCCACAACACCCAAAAGCTGTCTCATAATCGGAAGCAAGGTATGTGGCTAAGCTCCTCCCACATCTGTGACATAATGGGAATGACCACACTTGACAGCTAGCTGTATTACTGTGCTAGTCACCTTTTCAACTGGTACCTCGTAGTTTGGAATATAATATCCTAAATGGTATCTGATATCTTATGGTGAGTCATGCTGTGTTCTAGTTATCCAATAAAAGTACTAATATCCATGAAAATAACTGAGGTAGGAGCAATGCATCTAACAACTTGATAAATTTTTACCACCTGCTCGATTCCTGTCACGTGAAAGGTGTCGCTTTTGCTGTAACCACTGGAAGAGTTATATAGCGACCACAAAATATTACAGTACCATATATGAGATTACAAAGCTATTTCAATAGAAACACAAATACTGTACTTGATTACATTGATGAAAATATTATCAAATAAATACTCTTTTGCCACAGAATGTTTCTTGCTTTATATTTACTCTTGTGGGGTTAAAACTGTAATGATAAAATATATTTCAAATGAAAATTACATATAAAACAGCATAAAAAGCCTGAAGTTAATTCTTGACTCTAGGATTTTTTACTCTGTATCATACAGCCATCTAAATCCATACCTACATGAACACCAAACTCCTTGGCTTAACTAATACCACCTAGCTGTACCAAGCAATGATACCATCCATAGGTGTAATACTAAATCTGCACAATCTAAAAAGACATGGCAGTAACAAAAGATCAATGCAAGAACTTTATATTGTCATAGAGCAATTCTTTCAGTATCTTGAGGTAGAGCACATTATATCAGCAAATTGCAGACAAAAGACAAAAAAAACTAATGTTACATTATGATTAGTCTTTATGTTTTTCTAATGGATCTATACTGTAAAAACAATCACTTGGATGCCCCTTGGATTACGATAGACCTTAGAAAGAGATACAAATGAGAATGAATATCTTCTTCATATATACATGTATTTCTGATGAAGGTATGACTGTACTGTGAAGATAATCATTCTCATTTATACCTCTTTCTACATTTGTTGCAATGAACACTGCTCATGGTAAACATTACTCATAAAAGAGAAAAGATGAAATGATAAGCTGAGAATTTTTGAACCAGAAAGAAAAAGTATAGAAGCAGTTACCAAATTGTTACAAGTCTGAGTTCAGGATTTCTATAAAGTATCCATGTAATGAAGATGCCTAACATTTACCGTAAGACACCAAATCCATCACTCGATTTAAACAAAAAAAGGAAATATTTATATAATACAAGAAAACAACTAAGAGCAAAGTACTGGTTAACAATTTCACCATATATGGTCTTTCAATAAATGTACAAATTATGAGAACAAATAGTGAAGAAAAAGTAATAAGCATGCTGAAGAAAAAGTCATCAGCTGCAAAGAATTTGAACATATCAAGTATTCAAGATCTGAAAGCATATGTAAGGTAGTTGGCAGAATAAATTCACTGTTGAGTCACATTATATGAATTTTACCTTATATGTACATGATCTGCATGATTTTGCAACAGCTTATCATAAGTCATGAATCAAGAGGATACCTAGGATTTTATCAATATTTTCAATAAATAACACTTTTTTTTGAAAGAATGCAAACTAAGGTGCAGGATGATGTACCAAGTAATATAGAGGCCAGTTCTATTCTGCCACAACCTTAACTCAACCTATTCCAGTACTCATTAGACTGTTGAGTCAACTGGAAGGAGGCTGGCTAGGCATTAACCTGGGCTTTACAACTGCAATTTATCGCTAAACATAAAAGAAAAGTCAAATCTAGTACTACAGATTCAAACTTATATATAGACATTTCTTGTGAGCTATGCAAGAGGGCACATACTGCAAGGCTGCCAGTTATGTGTAAAGACTACATTATTGAAAGATAAAAATGCTTAGTGAAACAATGTCTTGTCCTTATTTACATTTTGTTGATAAGTGATAGCAGCGACCTCTGCCTACTTAAATGACTTGCTCATCTCCAGGAGAGACGAACATTTGAGAATCATCATGAGTCATAGGCATGTGTTTCTGTACCAGAAGGAAGGATGTCAATAAAATACAGTCAGATGATATAAGAGATCAAATTTTAAAAATTATGTTACATCAGCTCATAAGATAGCAAAATCAATGTCATATATATATCTAGGTAAAAGTTGCTGATTACTATATTATTTACCACTAAAGTAATCAATATTATCATCAAATACAAACAGACTTATACATACAAGCCAAAAGACCTAATCTTCCTCTTTCTTGACTTCACACGAAGCATAGAGAAAATTTGCAAGTATCATTTGGAATATTAAAATAATACAGTAAGAAACTGGATTTTCTTTCAATTTCAATTTAGCTATTGCCTTTCATGTCATTTCTAGCTATTGCTGGATAAACAGAAATTGGTTTATGTTCTCTATCTACATTATAATCACCATCGCTTAAACATGTGATTCTTATCCTAGGAAGCACAGGCCTACACTTAGGGAAGGAGAGAGCAATCTTATCAAAGGTGTATAAATCAATCAATCAATCAATGGCACTGACACCAGTGGGGGTGCATAGCCGGATCCACCATTTGCTTCCAGTCAGAGAGTTCCTCATGGCAAGCCTCCAGACAGGTCCTCAGCCCATCTCTAACTCCTCATGGCAGGTCTGGTCAATCTGTCCAAGCCACGACTTCCTAGGCCATCTCGTGGGCCTCCTTCACCAAGGTTTGTAACAGGAAGAGATGACCTGATGGGCAGGATTGTTCATAGGGAAACAAGATTGGTCCCCATATAGCCTGAGTTGGGGGTCCTGCATTGTGCAAGAAACAGGTCCTATGCCAGTCTCACAGTATAAACATTGGTTGGGGACATGGTCCTACCAACTGTACCCCGTGATCCAGCAAAAGGACCTGTAACAAATGGCATTAAGATGTGACTCCAAGGCACTAGATCGTGTCCAGATTTCACTTCCATAAAGCAGAACTGGCAGTATCAGGGCCTTGAAGACACATACCTTGGTCCTTCTGCAGAGGTATCAGCAAATATTAATACTCTTGTCGACTGAGTTTATGACACCTGCTATCAGGCCAATCTGTTGGCTGACTTCATGGTCTGACAGTCCAGAGTCATGAACTTTATATCAAGGTGTGTAAAGTTCTCTGTGGCTTCAATATTCTCACCACATGCATACACCACGCGCAGGACCGGCCCAGAATCCATCCACGCACCAGCTGCGGCCCGCAATGTATTCAGAGTGCGAGCTCTGATCCAACATCACATTGGCAGGATGCCCGGCAATGTTTATTTTTCCGGTTGTCTCATATATGGGACACCAATCGTAAATGGGTTAATCTTGGTTTTGGTCCACGACACCTGTAACCCTAAAGGCTTTGACTCATTCTTAAATGCATCAAGAGCCAAAACCAGGATTCCTAGAGACTCAGAGAGGATAGAAAAAAACTCAAGGTCCGTGATCCTGATATTGCCCAGTGTAGCTCACAGTGGCTCTGGAAAGTAGCTCTACCTATTATCCAGTCTAGGCTTATGTTGAAAACTGTTGGTGCAAGAACACAACTTCACCTCACTCCTTAATTAACATGGTTTAATTGATTGATTGATTGATTGATTGATTAGTGAAAATCACACCTATTACTACAACAGCATGGTCATATGGCGCCAAATTATTAATTACAAATGTAAATCAAAGATAATGAGAAAAGAATTATAATAAATAAATAAAAAATAAAAACTTTAGTTAAAATAGTAAAATAATTAATTTAATTACATTTAATGAGAATACCAGCTTCCCTCATAAAAAACAGAACCTCATGTCCAGACGTTAGGCATCTTTCTCCCAGGATTAGAAAGAGGTGGAAGGTACCATTCTGTCTCCAGCAGTTGGACAGATGCCTTTCTCGAAGAGATGGAAGACTGGAGCACTCGACCAGCAAGTGGCACAAAGTCAGGGGGACTCGGCAGTCTTCACAATACAGTTCAACATCTTTGGACATTCGTGGGTTAGTCAGGTATGAAAAGTTAGGCAAAATATAATCCTTTACTGCAACATTCTATGGGGGAACTTCCATGGAATCCATGTCTTCTCTATTCTTCAGGATCAGATATTTTTCCTCTTGCTTTTCTGTCTGGTTAGTTGATGGCACTAAACACAACATATGTGACATCACACCCCATCTATTGTCAGACATTAGAAATGTGGGCAGAGTTTTTCATGTTTCCTTCCTTTCCATATGAGTGATTGTTGCTACATTTCTTAAGTATAATCTGAGTATGTGTTTGAAGAACACCTTTGTCTCCTGCACCTTTATATGATCTTCCCTAATAAAAGTAGAGCCTTGTGAATAAGCCTACTTTCCAGTTTGAAATGTATATGTTTGTTGAGTTTCCAGAGTGGATGCAATACCCCCACTTAGAGGTGATTGCAGTCCTCCACAAAATATTATTATATGAAGATTCTCATATGTTCTAGTACATAAAATAATTTGCTTCATTAATTTATCAGAATATCTTTACGTAACTGATAGCGCCGATTTTGGTATTGATGAATTCCTTATACGCTCTATTAACTAAACATATTGATATTATGCTGTTGAACCCCCCCCATTAGCGACAATATTGTCCCCAATAGCAAAGGGAGAGCATGAAAGGTACCAAGGAAACTGCAGGGTAAAATATAAATAATATACATAGAATGAGCTACTACATTGTTTATTACACAGGGTTGTGCCCCCTGTAACCCTGCTCCTAGGGAGCTACTGTCCCTAACCGCCACAAAGGAAGACAAAGTATCCTCCACATATTCACAGCTGGGCAAAGCATACGACTGACATGCACAAGCAACCGATGCAGAATCAGTCCTGCACTCTGTCCTGCCATACATAAATGGGGAATTATGTATTTTCATGGGAGGGGGTTGGGGGGGATTGCAGCACAGTAAGGCATTATCTTCTTCATGTTATTGTATCACTGTTAGTTTATCTGTTATCACAGGTAAGAGTGTGGGGGTTCACGGAATTCCC